CCAGAAGGTAGCAATACTCTCAACACTTTCTTTGCTGTTGGCATCCAACGCCTGCTGCTGCAATTTTGCAACAAACATTATTAATTTACTGTCTATAACACTACTTATCTCCATTTATTAATTTAACTCACCGCTAAGTGGTATGGAAGGTAGCCAATCCTTCGGAGTGACTTCTGAGAATCGTAGCATACTGTCAGGCGAGCAAATGATAACCTAACAAAATTAATTACACAATCAGAACATATTCAATAAGTTTTAACATTTTATACTTTCTACTTACCACACCGCCAACATTCCGTAGGCTTCAACGTTGCAACGTCGTATACACTAGCGAATTGATTTCCCATTGAGATTACAGAATATCTGTATGAATCATTAGGATTAATATGTTGTCATGAAATATTTAAATATAACTCACAAAGCAATATATTTCACTTACTCCGATTCTAACTCACTATTCCATAAATAATCACAAATTGCAGCTTCGATGTCATCAATTCCGCTTGGAATATCCGCTTTTTCAACCTACAATTTTGCATACAAATTTTTGTCACAACAACATAATAAAAATCAAATTAAATTTTCTTTTATTCAACTTACCTTCTGCTTCTTCTTCTGGGGTGCAGGACATTCTGAATCCAAATCTGCTGCTATAACACTCTCCGGTGTATAAATGACATCGACTTCCTTCCTCCTCATTTCTTCCATCTCTTCTTCTTCCTCCTCCCTCTTTTCTTCTTCATATTTTTTCAGTTCATCGTATTTTTTTTCTACATAGCTCTTCATCTCTTTTATTTCACCCTTCAATTGATCTCCTTCATCCAAGTATTTATCAACCACCTTCACCCCCGTAAGTTCACTCCTCAATTCCACAACCTTCTTCACCACTCCCTCAAATTTTTCACCCGTCACCATCTTAATATCACCCCTTAACACCCCAACTTCTTTCACCACTTCACCCCTCAACACCTCTACTTCTTTCACCACTCCATCTTTTTTCCTTACTACCCCCTTATGCCTCTCAAGTGTATCTTCGACTCTCTCAAGTTTCTCTTCGACTCTATCAAGTTTCTCTTCGACTCTTGATTGTCTTTTCATGATATCAAATTGGATTTTTTTGATATCAGCCAATTCAGACATCAAAATGTCGAAGTTACTATGTTTTCCCTCATCGTCGTCCCACTCATCGTCATCCCCCAATACAACCATCTATCCTTTCTTCTCCTCTGCCTCCTCTACATCCTTGCCAATAACCTTCAAAATTAAATTACAATATTAAGACATTGATTATATTCTTAATATTATTTAATTACATTTATTACCCTTTCTTGCTTCTTCGCTCTATCCAACTTCAACTTCACCATCACTTAACCACCTCTTCTTCCCCCATGCACGGATGCATGCCACTCCAGTTCTTTCATAAGCCGGCACTGCATCACAGCCCGACCAAAAATCGAACAGTGCAACCTGCATTTATAATAAAATTTATATTTTTATATAAAAACACAAAAAAGTTCTTCAACTCATTTACCTCTAAGATTGCTATGCACCCTTTGAGGTATCTCTGGCTGCCCTTTTTAAAGGTGATTATTGATTCAATCAATCTCGAATGGATATATTCAGTCCAATTGAATTCACCCTTCAAGCCTTCATCGTAAATGAGCTTCATATGTTCCTTGTTCGTTGACGTATTACCCGTTGGACAAAGAAAGATACCGACAAGGTATAATAGAACTCTGGCCTTCAGCTCATCCCCAACATAAGATCCACTTTTTATTTCCTCTTCAATTTCAGCATATGTCACCTTCTGCTTCAAACCATATTTGGAGGCAAGTGTTTTCCAGTCCTTACTCTTACAGACTTCTACAACACTTTTGCTTTCATTTTCTACCCCCAATACGGCTGCAGCACATGGGATCCCGAGAGGAAATGAAAAATCACCATACTTAGCAATACATTGTCTGACATCAAATTGCGCCATCAAGGATCGACACAATTCCCTCCGAATAGGTCGATCCCTTACTCCTACCAACGATCCAAAACCTTTTTCTCCCAGCACATTCAACTGACCCTTCTCCTTAAGGTGTTTAATTAATGAATTCACCCTTTTAATACTGCATCATGTCGACACTTCCTACATTTTTTAACAATATATAATGTTATAGTTCTTATATATTTTGTATCAACGTATTTACAAGTTTAATGAATACCTTATTTTCATGTGCTTTCCTCCGTTCTTTGTATTCTTTACTATCATTCCTTGACTGTGTGATGTAAGGTTCATTTTCAGCATCACTCATTGAATTCCATTTGGACCTCACATCTTTTGTCACCTAATATTAAACATAAACGTTTCTTAATCAATACATTAACACTAAATACTACTCAATGTCAATTTCATTTTACATACCGAACCGCTCTGTGTGCCATCTTCCTTCATCCTTTTGCATGCGGCCATACTGTTAACATTTAAAATTTGTAATCAATTTAAAGTTTATCGATACTTTAATCCAATTACCATTTCAACAATAATAACAAAAAGACATTGATACTTACTAGAAGTACATATATCCACCCTTTGGTTGCTTTCGAGTCTCGGCTTCAATTTCAAAGTCATCTGCTCCACCAATAATTTTCCAACCCATTGACTCCATTTTTCCTTCATATATCAGTTTACGCAAATCAAATTATTTTGTTACATACACTTTATTCAATATACAAATATAGATAACTACTCTTGTGGTAAAACGGTTTTCTTCAAAAGAATTTGAATGACCACACCAAAATGTGTCGGCACATTTATACAACCTATAATATCATTTTCTACCTATAATATTTAATAAAAGTATCGACATTTATATTTTTCCTTGAATATCACTTTCTACCTGCAATCGGTCCCAAATGCATCTTTACTCCAAAACCCCAAACAACACATAAAAATCCTATCACGATTACTGTAATAATAAAAAATTAGGGTTTCGACAACATATTTTTCGATTCGACTGCAGCAACAAACAAACAAACTTCGCTTTAGAAACGCCTTCTAAAATGCAGCAACAATTACGCTTCGATTTCAAAAACTCGTCCGTTCTATCTATTTTCAGAGGATATTTAGCTATGACCTTTATATTTTCATCGGATATGTTATTTATATTTAATCGATACAAATAAAAAAGTGTCGATACTTTTATGTCAGGTGTCGATACTTTCGAAAGGATAATTACCTATTTATTTGAAAGTGTCGATAATTTATTATACGTACTTACGAAAGTATCAACACTTTCAATATATCTGGTATCATTTTACCGGTTTTATCATTTTGATACCGGTTTTATCATATTTTTACCTGTTATATCGTTGTGGATCGATATATTTTTTAAAGTATCGACACATTATAGGCTCTAAAACTGCTTCTCTTTTAAATTCACAAAGTGTCGATCCTTATATAAAGTATCGACACTTTCAATATATCCGGTAACGTTTTACCGGTTTTATCATTTTGTTACCGGTTTTATCATATTTTTACCTGGTATATCGTTTTGGATCGATACATTTTATAGGATTTAAAACTGCTTCTATTTTAAATTCACGAAGTGTCGATCCTTATATTAAAGTACCGACACTTTAAATGTATCCGATAGCGCTTTACCGGTTTTATCATTTCAATACCGGTTTTGTCATAGTTTTACCTGTTATATCGTTTTTGGATCGACACATTTTTAATTTGGATCGACACGAACCGACAAGTTAAGTTTGCCGGTTGCACAATTTTTTAATATTTCTTCATGACTTAGACTTATTACATTATTATTAGTCAACATTTTCGCTAGCGCTAAATCGAATTTATTAAATATCTTTTAATGTATCCGATAACGCCGTATATTAACCGTATATTAACCCGACTTTCATGAGACAATCCCCAATTGATGCATTTTGTTTTAGGAACATATTTTTTTTTCATTTATTAGGACAGTAACAGTTGTATCCCACATAAGCGAGGGGCTTTGTTTGAGACATTTCCAATGTTAAATCAATAAAGCCGGCGTCTCAAGTTAAAAAAAAGTATGATTGGTCTGATAAAGAAATTTTAGATATTCGTAAGGAAAATAAAAATTTACTTATATATTAGTGTAATTTATTTTATTTTATATATTTATTGCATCACGTTAATAATTTTTAAAATATAACGATAATTATTTTTTTATGACAACATTATAATTAAATAAAAATAAAATTGATTAAATATTATATTTTTTAAATCTAATAAAAATGTGTACAAAATTTTTAAAAAATAGTTAATATTGTAGTTTACCCATAGAAGAAAAAGATAAATCGATTGAATAAAAGTAATTAAGAACAAATAAAATTGAATGAAACTTATAACTAATATATGTTATATCAGATATAACCAACTTTGTTTTTTTCTTTTTCATTTCTTTGAGAAATCAAATCTTACGATTCAAATATTGATATAGTTAGTTATTATTTTATATTTATAACAGATTTATAAATAAATATTTATATAATTAGGTATTATTTTATATTCATATCAAATTTATAAATAAATATCGATATAGCCGATAACATAAAAGATTCATTTAAAACCTAAAATAAAATAAAGATATACAAATTACAAATATATATATATATATATATTATTTCATTCTCTCATAAAACTCTAAATTTTCTATATATGTTACCACACCATCTAAATTTACAAATTAAGATTAATAGTATAACTTTAAAGATCCACTCAAAAGTTCACATATGATATTTATACCTAAAAACCTTAATATATATGTGTGTGTAAATTACAATAAAATTAAAAAGGAAAAATGCATTAGAGCGAGCATCAAAATTTTCATAAGTTACCCATGAATTGTTTTGGCCTGCAAAATCAAATCAAAACACGAAAAGATCAAATAAAATTTGCTTATCTTTGCCATCAAAATGTCGTAATGTTATCAGTGGAAAATAGAAAGAAAATGGGGAAAAAAAACTCACATTTCTTCCTTTATTATTATCACCAACCCTTAAGCTCTTGGAAGATTGAAGAGATGACAAATCAGTTTTCCGGTGAATCATATGACGAAGACCGTGAAAATAATCCGGCGGAGGGACTGAAGAGTGTGTTTCCGGACCTCTATAATCGATGTCGTTCTTCTTTCTCCGAAACATCAAAGCTACCTTTTAGAAAGAAAGAAAAACCCAATATTAAATCAATTAAAAACTTTAAAAAGAAAAAAGAAAAGAAATACAAAATCAACCTGTTGAAAAATAGGACACGGAAAGTAAGAGAAGGAGGAGTGAGGAGGAAAAGCAGGTGAGAAATTATTGGGTTTTGAAGGTTGAAACCGTCGGCATATTCACCAATTAAATATGTTTTTTTAATTAATTATTTGTATTCGATCTATTGATCGATTAATCTAGATCGGATATTACAGAGACGAGAGCGACCCTCCCTACTGCTCATTCACAAAACGTCAGAATTCGAACCTCTAACCTTACTTAAAGGACCTAGTGTCTCATCCTACTAGATTAATCGGTTGTTGGTATCAATTAATCATGTTTATGTATTGGATTTGGTTGGAACATTTATTAAGCATAACTAAACGCCACACACACCCTACTCTCAGTAATAGGACACAGCAAAATTAAATTTAATTATGAAAATTGATTTTTTTTTTTAATTTTAAGTTATCTGAGTCAAATTATTTAAGTTAATTTAAATTTTGAATTTGAATTATAAAAAAAACGACGTTGTTTTAGTTTTCAGTTAAGTAATTGGACTGTTTTACAATCTTGATCTCTCATTTTATTGGTTTTCAATTTCTCCTTTGTTTTAAGTTATTTTTAATTAAATCTGAACCACACTTTCCTAAAATCATTGTAGAATACATTTATAGTTTCAATTCATTTTTTGGGGAAAAAACTTGTTCCTTTTACAATTTAATCCTTCAATTTTACACGTTTGATTAATTTTCCTTCGTTTTAAGTTAATTTTGATCAAATTTAAACCACCTACTCCTCTACCGATATAAAAGGTATATGCAACTTAAATTCCTATTTTTAACAAAATAAATTCCTTTCCTAGCAATTTAGTCTCTCAATTTTACATTTTATTCAATTTGATCCTTCAACTAAATTTTTTTACAAATTCTTTTTTTCATCAATTCATTGAGTCCTTTATATTCCCCTCAATGTAGTCATCAAAATCTATTCTTTAAAAAATATTATAAATATATTTATAGATGTTGTTTGATTTATTAAATAATATTATAAATTTTATTTACACATGTGATAAGAAATATATATGTATAACTTATATGATTACTGGTTAGAGAAAGTCATTTAAATTGAAAACAAATTCTTCCATGATATTATAAATAGTTACAATTAAATTTAAAAAAAAAACTCGAACAATTAGACTCAATTTTTAAAAAATATAAATTTTAAATCATAAAATAAAACTCATCAACTCGAAAATTTTAACTTGACTCGATGAAATACTCTTTTTTTACTTTTTAGGATTTATATATATATATATATATAATTAATACATAGTTAACAAAATATATCACAGTTCGTAACACATCAATAACATATAAATAATAATGAATTATGTTATTATTATTATTGTACTGTGGCATGGGACAGGTCCATGTGTGTGTGTTAAACGAGGGACATGCCATGACAATGAGTCTAGTTGGCTGGATTTCACATTCTTCCCATCTACTCTTTTGGATTTGTATAAATTAATTGTTAAATTTGGAGATTAATTCACTCCCAATTTAAGCCAACAACACAAATGATTGGTGTTATTTAGGGTTATACAAGCTGAGCATGGTATTAAACTTGTGATGTTTATTAGTATGAAGTGGGGGTGTTCACAATGACAAAAATAAATAAATAAGGAAAACAACTAAAGATATCATTGAACTTTATCTGTTCACTCGTTTAGATCACTAAACTTTTGATTTTATCAATCATAGCACTAAATTTTAGTTATAGATTCAAGTACGTCACTCTGTCGTTAAGTCACTAGTAGGACAATGACATAATTAACAGTTGTTAATGTGACATGTCATTCCAAAACAACATTGTTTTGATACAACTGTTATGACACCTAAAACGACGTTGTTTTAGACATTAAACTTTAAGAGTATATCGATTTTACCACTAAAGTTTTAAACAATTTACTTTTTTGGCATTGCACTTTTCGTCTGTCGTCGACAGTCGATCATCGATAGTATTTCGTAGCAAAATGGGTACCAAAATATTCATATTTCACTATTTATTCTTCTTATATGATTAGTTTTCCACGAAATCCACTCAAAATCGATAAAATTAAACAAAAAAAATCTACCATTTATTTTAGATGTTTGAAGATTTTCTTAGATAAAGTGAAAAATATTGTTTCGAGAAGACGAACCACATACTTCAAAAAAAAACTCATCGATAATATTTTGATATTGATCTTACTATGAAATATGACTGATGACTAGTGGTGCTTGACCGTCGACGACAGTCAGAGAGTATAGTGTTGAAAAGGAAAACTGTATAAAAGTTCAGCGGTAAAATCGATATACCCGTAAAGTAGAAATAATTGTTAAAACACCTAACAATGTTTTTTAAAGCGTGCATGTGTATGGACTTCATGAAGGTTGAACTAGAAATAAATTGTGTTGATGTGTATAATTTTTTAGTCCATAAATCATTGACGCTAGAGTAGGATAGATCATCCTTAATTTAATAGTCACTTATTTTGTTGATTGTGTCAATCTTAAAATTTTATTTATGTATATTCCATACAAAAATTGTATATTATTAATTCATATATACTCACCTTAAAAATATCTCTGGATTTGTCGTTGCGTTAAAGGGGAAAATTATTATGGATGCAATGAGATCTTTAATGGATCAACCCTAAGAGAGGTGGATTTGTCATGTGTAATATAAGTTCAACCCATTTAAATCGAGATACGTTAGTAGGAGAATGCTTTTTACCTTACCTCCAAAAAAAATCAAACATGTGCTTGATATTGAAGCTTTGGATAACGAATAGTATGTTAGTAAATTTGTATGAAAAAAAAGTAATATTGAAAATTATAATATTTTTATATTTTTAAAAATTAAAATTAAATTATTTAACTCAATTCAAAAAAATTTATGTAAAATTCGTTTTTTTAAAGATTAAGTTTTTTTTTTTAAATAACTTACGCTTTTGAGAGGAGGAACACATTTTATATAATTTTTCCTTGTGAAACAAATACCGAGTTCAAAAACTATGAGAATTGCTTCTAAATTAAGGACTTAAATTGATTCTAATTAAAAGAAGAGTAAAGTATACAAATGGTCCCTTAATTATGGGATACTACTTTGTTGAATCTCCCAACTATTAAAAGTTACAAAAAGGTCCCCCAACTATAGGGACTTATTTTGTTGAGTCATTCGACTATTAAAAGTTACAAAATGGACCCCCGGCTATAGAGAGTCATTTTGTTGAGTTACTCGACTATTAAAAGTTACAGAATGGTCACATGATTGTTCATTATATTTCAAACTCGTCATTTTCTATTAAAAAGTTAACAACAATCTGAGCTGGACGTTAACCTGTTGACTGAGATATGATAAAATCTCATCTCATAATCTCAAACGAGTGTCATCCCTCAGTCAGCATGTTAACATCCGGCTCAGACGACCTTCAATTTTTTAACAAAAAAGGACGAGTTTGGAACATAATGAATAGTTGGGTGATTATTTGTAACTTTTAATAATCGATGGATTCAATAGAACATCTCCTTGTAGTTGAGGGATCATTTTATAAATTTTAATAGTCAAAGACTTAATAAAACAATATCATATGATAGTAACTCAATAAAGTAGTATCTTAAAAGAAATCGAGTGGTTTGATTTTTATTTCAAATCAAACTTAAACTTCTATTTTTTTTTTGAATTAAAAGGAAGTTAACACAGCCTAGCGCAAGCTAAACATGCAAGCTAACGTTGTGGCAGTGGAGAAGATCTTCGACCTCAGGAGGAGGGGACTGGAAGGAATGAAATTCGAAGGACAGATTCCATGCAAGCTTAGTCATATCATCCGTAGCTTTATTTCACTCTCATGGTCCATTGACAGATTCCACGGATTAACTTTGATTAAGAAGATCGATTATGTGTGGTATCATTGACGATAAACCTCCTGATTCCTTCCCCCAATCAAGGACGGATAGAGCCTCCTTACTGTCTGTTTCCACGATTAGTGGCGACAATCATAATTTCATAATAACGAACTAAAGAAGAGATCTTATTCAGAATCAAAGATAAAATTTGTGCGAATGCCGAAGATTCTGAATAATCCATGAATTAACTCGAAATTAAAAAGTTCATATGCATTATCCAATTTAATCACCGCATACCAAACTGATTTTGTCGCTACACAATCACGAAGAATATGGATAGCATATTTAAATAATGAAGTTAATTTACCTCAAGCAAAGCTTTGAGCCTTGATTTTTGAGGTCGAGTAATTCGCTACACTCGGAATACAAAACTGAAAATTGGGTAAGAAAGGAGGGTAAAATCGACAGTTCAAAGATTTTAAGGACTCTCGTTTAGCTTTGCAAAAGGTTAAAGGGTATCAATGGGTTTTCCTAGTGAGTGAAGTCAAGTTAGGGCATCCAAATCCTACGCAGATATTAAACATGAGAAACCCTAGCTAAACAAAGCTGAGACTAGGGCTGTAAATGAGACGAGACAATCGCGAGCTACTCGAGATCGACTCGATCAAGGCTCGATAAATACTCGGATCAAATGGACTCGACTCGAGCTCGAGCTCGACTCGATTTCTTAACGGGCTGAAACGAGCTACTCGATATTCGACTCGAAAAGCTCGTGAGCTACTCGAAAAAAATTATATTATAATTTTAGATTTTTAAAATTACATTATTAAAAATACATTATTAATAATTATAAAATTTTAAAAATATATTAAAAATTCTATAATACAACTAAGACATCTCATCCCTTATAATTATATGATAGGGTTTATGATTTAGGTTTTAGGGTTATAGTTTAGGGTTTAGGGTTTATGATTTAGGATTCATGTTTAGGATTCATGGTTTATGGTTTAATTTATACACAACTACTTAAAGAAGACAATCCTAAACAGGGACTAAATTATTACCTAAACTAAAGTGTGCTTACACGATACATGCATGCATACGAATGAAATGCAAATGCACATACATTAAGATGAAACAATATAAAATTAAACCTACTATTAATAACTTAAACTCATATTTTAAAAATGCCACGAAGAATCAAAACAATATA